AAAAAAAAAAAAATAAAGAGAGCCAATTTCAATCGTTTTTCTTCTCAAGTTCTACGATATTATAAACAAGATTTCTATTTTATTTCTCGTTATTTTGTGACACGGAAAACGGAAATTAAATCAAGAAAGAAGAAAAAGAAAACACCCCTGAAGTGTCTAATCATGGCAATGGAAAAACACGGAAAGAATATACAAAGAGTATAGCTACGAATTTCAAAGCAGCCAACGGGAAACCGACTGAAAAATTATTCTTCCAACGATCTATATTCCACGAGGTTGACTGGTCTTTAAAGAGGAACACTTGGCAAATGTCAAAGTGCAATAAGCGAGTCGAGTTTGTTGCGTGACTGCTTCTTAAGTCGGAGATTCGATCGACTTGACGGATCACACAAGATCCATTGGGAAATGGATGTCAGGATGGATATAGGAACACATGTATACGATGCATGAAACGGTGTTGTGTGGAGATGTGCGATCACGCGGAACAGACGGTGCGGCGCGATGTTACGTGCCTCCCGTTTCGATCACGGAACATCACGAATTTCGAGGTTATTAGCAGTAACTCTCTAGAAGAATCGAGTCGATACAGTACACTACGTACCTGTTCCGTCGGACATAACTCGTCGGAGAGAAGAATCGAATTTATTCCTAAATGTGGTCCACACGATCCTCAACCTCTTTCCTGGCCGACTGGACGACACAAGTAGTGGCGAATCCACGCGTCGGTTTCCTTGGTTTGTTGAATCGATACGACGATGTCCCTGCACCCTGTTTCTTTTCGTTTTTGCCTTCGACCACGACGTGTCTCGCGTGTCTTAACCTTGATTACGCTCCAAAGTTCATAGAACTAATGCACGATGTTCTTTTACGAACATTGAAGCATGGGAAAGATTCATTGGAGAAAAGGAGGGATAGAGAGTATCAACGTTGTAACACGTGGTATTATATTTCAGTTGGATAAAAGCTGAGGATTTTACTCCCTCTCCCCTCCCCTGAAACACAATCCATCAACCGATGATAGCAGGAAGATCGATCGCTCTCTTCCGTCGCAAATATTTGCTTGTCAACGGTTTATCCTTTTTTTCTTCGTATCGATGTAACGATCAAGAAGAGTAAGAATCATTTTTTTTAAATACCCATTCCAATTGTACGAGATAATTTTGTTTCGTTTTTTTTTTATGAAACGAAAGATCCGCAATTTCTCGGAGTTGAGCGGTTAAAGAGGGAACCGTGGCGGTTGTACGGGAGTGTGGAGGTATACGTAATACGCATACGTAACCGCAGCTCGATTATCAAGAAGGCTGCATAGATGCAGCCTCCCTTGCAACGTGTGCAACCTCGTTCCCGGATATACGCATACGGATTTCGTGCAACATGCAAAACGAGCTTAAGTCACGCATATTTATCTTTGACCCGGCTCCCGGCTGAGCAAACGCAAATATGGCGCGTCATCAAGAAGAGAAGGGATAGAATTATGGAAGCTCGCCTGTACATCCTAAAAGATACTTCTGTATTCAAATAATTCTTCATGATTCAACAATGCGCCCGTTAATCGACCAACTTGCATAATTTTCAGATACATTGGAAACTTTTGTACCCGTATTCGAAATTTATGTGTAAACTTCGTGATTCCAAGATTCACGATTGTAGGGAGACACGCTTATCATTTTATCGAAGTGTATCATACACGATTTTATTTAATACGAAAAACAAATATTCTCCCTGATCACGTGCATCGAGAAAATCTTAAGCTCTAACGAGGAAATCGCATATTTCCGAAGAAATTGGAACCGGGTAAAACCGCGAAGCCGAATCAGAAGAATGGAAAAAAAAAAATGGTGAAATTTGAAGGTTGGAGGGCTGCGGTCCGGGCAAAGTTTCGCATCGGTGGTGGGTGCATGTGCGTGTGTTTGTTCGACTGGTGAATGTCCTCCGCTCCTGGGCTTTGGCTGGGACTTCCTGGTGAACCCTTCCTTCCCTCGCCCCTCTCTGTCCCCTCCCTCCCCCTTCGAGTTGTTCGCAGCCGAGCTCCGTGCAACGGTGGAGGGAGAGAAACGAGGAGAAAGAGAGAGCGGAGTGGAAGTGTAGAAGAGAGAGTGAATGACTAGGAGAACGCGAGAGATCGATATTCGAAACCCCTGTGCCGTTGGGCACCGAGCTCCTCTCGCCACCCCACGCCCAATGGCGTAGCAAGGGGGGGGGCAATTGGACTACGTACTACTGCCTGTTCCCAGGATACTCGACAAACGGAAGTTTGGGACAAAGAGGAGGAGCGTTATAAATTAGCCGAGACGGGATT